GCTACCACTCCACCCCCGGTTGGCCTCAACCAAACTTCGGTCGCTGTTTTGGCCGCACCGGGTAAGAGCGAGCTCTTCGATGGCAGGTAACGCGTTCAGCGTGTCACTGCCAGGTAGCCGGCAGGAGCGTTGTTCCTCCGTGGAACAGGAGTCACGGTAACGTGTGTGAGTGTGTGTTCTTCTGGTGTAGGCAGTGCAAGGCACCCGCAAAAACTTTCCGACGGCGGGGTACTCTGCCTCCCCGCACCGTAGCGGCTTGTGTTCGAAAGAAAGCCGCGCACCCGCTTCATGTTCCGTTCGAGTGTGGTATGTAGGCAGGCTATAGGGCGACGGTCCTGGACAGATTTGTGCGCATGGTAAGGGTCGGCACGGTTCTGCACAGGCGCGCGATTGATTGTTTGGGTGAAACGGGGGCCGCAGGCGGCGAGGAACCCCATGAACAATTTGTCTCCTGGCATGTACCAGTAATCAACTCAAGGAGTAGCAACAAGAACCATGGCCGCTGTGTAGAGAGATGTGTCAACGAGGCTGTGGGCATTCAACTTCTCTCGATTTTCTTCGGGAAAGGGGCGTGGAGAGGGGAGGGGAGGGGAGGGTGGGGGGTGCGGGGGGTAAAGTGGCCTACGCGTGTCAAGGACGTCAACAGTGTTCTCGTTGCGTGGCACCGTGTAGCGTAAATTATACAATAATAGCTCGTGAGGGACAACTTCCTCGTCGACGAGTGCAGAGAAGTTGGGTTGCAAGGGGTAACCCACTTGTACCGAAGAAGCGTCTGCTCTGTCTGACATGGGGAATCTGGTGTGCATGTGTGCAACAACGTTAGGTGTGGTGTCTAGACTATGCTGAGTATGGTACATATATAAGAACGCTCGTTGGTGTTAGGATGAGGGACGCATGAAGTTTTCGCTAGGCTAGTCGCCGTGAGGGGGGACGCGCGACAAATCCACAGAGCCGAGAAGGCGAGTATTATCACACGCAGTTTGCGTTGAATGCCCTTATTTTCTCCTTGTCTGCAGCTATGTTCTAAAGCGGGTGGTAAGCGTGTGCCGGTGTTGCTTTGTACGTTGTGTGCCATAGGGAGAGAAGATGCTTGGGGAACCGATGGGAGGGGGGAGGGGGATATTGACCACGCCAGTGATGTGTAGTAAGTTGTGGGGCTTGTCTTCCTGCGTGCGGTCGCCTGGGCGGCACCTTTGACGTTGTTTCTGTTGTCTCTCGTTCTACACAACAAGTTGTCCTCGCCCTTCCCGACTAGATGTGGAAAGTGCTACACTATACTTGATTGAGCAGGAAAAAATCGACCAACGATGCCAGTCTCGTTGTTCACAGTTGCCCCGGGTTATATCTACCGCCGCCGAAATGTGGGGGTCGACAACGAACCAAAGGCGCCGCTATCGCGGGGGATGGGAGGGGGTGAGTGGGTGACGGTGAAAGTAGTCGAACTGGAGCAAGAATCTGATTGGAAGGCGTCGTGGATGACAGGTGTACCTGGCGGTTCTCTTGTGCTTCTCTAGGCAGCGATCGCTCTTATTTCTGTATGAGTGTTTTTCGTTGCCGTAGTGACCTAGATTGAGATGTGTTTGTCAACCAATTGTGCCACAACTCAAATTCCTGCTTTCTCATGATGATCGTGGCCTTCGTTGTTTTTCGGTTACACGTTTCCTCCCCTATCTATTCGTATCTGCACCCTGTGCACTTGATTATTTGAAACGCGCCACCACGATGTAAGAGTCTGGGAGTGTGAAAACTACAGTAGTATCTCTCTCGTGCGCGCGTGCAAACGCCACCTCTCTTTTCTCGTTCTCACGAAAAGGAAGAAAACAAAGACGAAGAGCCACTATGAAGATTGCGCCTGCACTTCATAGATTGGCAGATGCTCACTCATTTGTCCAACTTGTAAGAAAACCTGATGAGCACCTTTCTTTGTGAGCCTACACTAGACTTGCCAACCTTAACTGGTACCTGGCAGTCATTTTAGCCCACAGGATGAACTAGGAAACGTCGCCGAAACTACAGAATCGGGCGCTTTAGGCTACATAGATGGACAAATGACAATTTGATCGTGTCGAAATGTACACGCACGCACGCACGTGGACTCTTCGCCTGTTATTTCGTTTTTTCGACACAACGTTCTTTCATGACCCCTCCGACAGGTTCGCCGGCTTCTACCCCGTCCTACACCTGTTCAGCTTTCTATGCAACTGACACGAAGAAGAGTGTGTAGTAGAAGGGCGCTTGACGAAACTCAATCGGAGTCGACCGCAGCAGAAGATGATAGAAATCACCATCACCATCGCCTTTCAGATCAGACATGTTTAGATGAAAGTATTTGTAATCTGTGAAGCCCTTGTCTTCGCCGCACCATGATGCCCATTCGGATCGGTATCTTTGTTTCGGTCTCTCGTGACTCTTGACTGCTACATTGTATGTATGCATAATATGCATGCATGTGTGAATGCCACCTCAGACTGTAGTAGATTGTGACGTCAGATGACCTGTCGGAGATCTACCTTCGGGGTGTTGCCACAGATAGAGTCAGTGTCGGGTGGATGCTGAACCTTGCTTCAACACAAGGTCGCTCCCCCCCTGGCTCACAACACAACTATCCGTACTCGTCAGCCTCTTCACCAGAGGTTGAACCGGTGTGTATCCACACCACACATCCTAACGGGAACTTGCTCACACGCGAACCTGGAGACAACAGTCTCATAGTGGCGTCAGCGGCAGTCTCATACATGCATACATTTATTCGTAGACTACGTAATGTGTGGCAGTCTGGTATACCCGACCACTTATCCATACAACCAGTGATGAGACTGGTGACGCTGTATATTCATTTTTCTTAATAATACTCCGGAGTATTACACAACGAATCCATCTCTATATCATAGAAAAGAGTCTGAGACCTGAGACAGATTATTGACGCTGTAGTCTATATTTTGTATCACATATATATGTATGTAAAGAGTTGTTCCGAAACATACACGAGCCTATACAGCAGTTATGCGTAGATAGCTTTCGCGTGTTCCCGCTTCATTCCGTGTTTTCTTTTACGCCTCGCACAGATCATACTGCACTTGAGTGTACCTCTTCACTCTTCATTAGAACGCTCGCCTCATTTAGAAGTAGACTAGTTGAAGTTCGGAGTGACATGGGAGGTAGGTTCGGTTTTCGGGGGCGCCGAAAAAAAGCGAACACTTGTTCAAGAACGCAGAAGAACTTAGCATGCACTGCTTATTTTCCTGATCGCTGCAACGCTGTAATAACACAGATATGACACGGAAAGTACAGCAGTAGCCCCATCAATTACGGCATAGACACTTGATATGAAGTGCTACGGCACACACCCAGGCTTGTGAGACATCTCGTCCTTCCTACACCCTGGACATCTTTCTTTGTCGTTCATCTCATCATGCGCAACATGAGCCAGAGCGAACTGTTGTACTAGCTTTCCCGAACTGGAGCTCAGGGTACATGAAAGCAAGCGATACCACAAGTTATGTGTTCAATGTTTCATGTGAAATCTCTCGTGTGTGCGGTTCATGAGGGTCGAAGCTTCCACGACTTTGCCTGCATCCACTACTATACTGCTGCTGTCCGACAACCTGTGTGTTCCGGAGATACGGGGAAATACGGAGATTCTGAGGTAGCGACGGGGGGACACGCAGACAAAAACGATCCCTATTACATCGATACATCACGCATGAAAAAACCAAGAAATGTATTGTAGTGGTGCCTTCCACATTCATCAGACGAGAGAGAGGGCCGGGCGTGTGACACAACCGGCTCTACAGATGAAGCAGCAAGAGGATGGAGGAGGCGGGGACGTGGACATGCCCAGGCGAGGAGTAGGGGTGAGGAGGCGAAGACACCACGACTCTTTGAGGAAGCAGCAGGTCGCATCATCATTATCATCGTGCGAGGATGGCTTCGGGGAAGGCAGCAGCAGGGGGGGGAGAAACAAAAGTTCGAATGAGGACGGTCGGTTTTGGCGACGCGGCGGCGGCCAAGCGAGAGGGAGCAGTGGCGGTAAGGAAGGAGCGGGCGGCAGGCGGCCAGCCCTAGTGTTCGTGGCGCAGGTGGTCCTGTCTTTTGTGGGCATGGTCGTCCTCCCGACGCGAGTCGCCTATGAGGTCTTGCTCCAGCCCCCAGTTTTTGAGAGCCATCGAGGCGAGCCGCCGCCTCCCCTGGTGTCACTAGCGGTGCCTTCTGCCACGGGGTCAGCGGCGTCCACGGCAGGGTCGGCCTCTCGCACATTGGTGAAAGAAGGAACAGGGGAAGGCGGAGGGCGTCGTCGTCTCAGCGACTTTTCGCGGGACGGCGGCGGCAGCGACGGCAGCGACGGTTTGATTTTGAGCAAGAAGGCCGGGTGGCGTGGCCGCCGGGTTCTTCAAACAGATGACAGTGGTAGTTTCACATACACCACGCGGACACAGTTCGATCTCTGCGCGGCGCCGGGCTCGGAGCTCGAAGAGGACGCTCTTAGGGCCGGGATCATGGACGTGTTCGAAGTGGAGCAGGAGCAGGTGCGTTCGCTTGCCCCGTTTTCTGACGCAAACTGATGAGGTGTCGAACCTCTCAGCTCTCTCGCCACTCGCTTCAATTTGCTCTTGCCTTGAATCCGAACAAAACTCAATGTGATCGCATCGATGTTCACGCAGGCGAAACAGCTTCATGACGCACTTTCTGCATTCGTTCATTTACGCCTCTCGCTCCCGTTTCAAGGCGTAGTAGATCACACAAGCAAGCAAGACCCGTTGTGTTCCGGCCTGATTCTGTGAGCTTTCAACCCGACCTCAAGTCTCATCTCTTCTGGCGCGAAGACATTCTCCAATCTCGCCCTTCTTTTCGGAGTTTGGGCTGGCACGCACCAAAGAGCCCACACAATATTTTGCCTATTTTGCCTTTTTTTGTATTCTGCGCGTGACTCGTTTTTCGGGCTGTTTTCCCTCGGGCCCAAAAATGTAAAACTGAAATTTCCTCACCAAAGGAGGCGGTGGTTGTTGACTATTTTACTACTGTGTGTGACTGCAGAGGAGGTTGATGGCCCCACCGCACACGAACACCCTCTCTGTGTCTCTGTGTCTCTGTGTTGATCGATCCCAAGTGCGTGGTTTTTCTCCAAAATTATCAAATTATCTACTCACTCACTAGTATTGGGTGTGTGTTGTCTATCGGCCGCATTTGTGGTATGACCCTGTGCCCCTCTCTATACGGACGGTGTGTTTTGCTGCTGACCACCACCGCGGTTGCTCTGCTGGGCTTGTTTTGACTGCCTATTTACTCTCCGCTTTTTCCAAATCGCAACCTCGGCCATCGCTCGTTCCTCTTCTGCAGCACGAGCTAATCTAGAGACGAGTTGCGAGGGTTCGAGGCGACGACGTGTATTGTCGATACGCGTTGGAATTAAGGGAAAATAAATACACACAGAGAAAGACTAAATACTAAATACCCATTCGAGATACCCACTGCTGTCGAACGGGATGTTTGAGCGCAAACTTGTGGTTGTTTTTTGCCATCTTCATGAGAGACGAAGAGAGAAGCGTTTTTTCTCTCTTCCCCCCTCGCTGCTTTTTGGAGTTATTTTGGGGAGGATTATCGCGCACTTGGATGGATACCCTCGCTTTTATTTTTTGTTCATATGCATGTGCATACTTGTAGGCTGTTGCACTGGATTTTGTGTTACACTCCATATGGTGGTGAAGTATACAGCAGCAGTAGCCAGGCGTCATTGTCGTCTGGAGCATGGGGCAACTTGGAAGACTATGGTGGCGATACGAGCGTGCGGTGTGTTTTTGGGCAGTTTCTTTTGTGTACAATATAAGGATGTGTTCGTCACATAAAATGATAAATGAATCGCACAATTTACGAAAATTCTTCCAGTACGTATGTCCCGGGCGAACTGATTTGTTTTCCACCGAAGGTCACCATGGATCATTCACACAGCTACCTGTAGTTTTTCTGATGCCACCGGTGTGCCTCGAAGCAGTGGCGTTAAGTTTGAAGTATCGGATTACATTCTATTTCTATGCATAAAAAAGCATTGTACACCAAGCATTTTAAAACACAATTTTTAATGAAAAGACTGCCCGTTCGAGGTTTTGTGGTGCAAGGCTAGACTTTCGGTGTTGTTAAACGGCACCACTACTTCTTTCATGGCAAGTCTATGGGTTTCCCTATCAAAACAATATGCACGCGTTTCTTGCACTCCAAGCCACTACATTTTTCACCTACATGTATTTGTTATTTTTTTTCCCCGATAGGGTGGAACGCAAGTTTCGTGTATGTGTTCGTCCCATTCCGGCGCCACTCTTTCGCAACTCTCGGTGTATGTACACGTTTGACGTGAATTGTAAAATAGTCGAAGTCACGCAGGACGAAGGCCGCCTTTTTTTTTCATTAATCGTGGAACCACGTGCTTTCTTAAGTGCTGCTCCTCGACGCTGCGAGCACCACCACCTGACCACAGAGTAGCGCTTGTTCGCGTTTGTATTGACAATTGCCGCAGCTGCTGCGGCCGGTGCTGTCTATAAGAATAGTTGGCTGGCTCTGTGGAGAGTCGTGTCGAAGGCCACGCACATTGCCGCAATTACGTGGTGTGTCGCTTGCCCATTGGTCGGCTTGCCAAAACAATGGTCTGCTGTGTTGTCACTTGGGTAGGGTTGGTGGTCTCCATTTCGGAAGTACGACATCGCCTTTACCCTACTAGCGAGCAATCAGATCAACCACGCCAAACCCATGTTTTTTCAACCTATCCGCGGTGCACTGACCTCGCATGCACCGGGGTGTGTGTTTGGGTTACTTTTTTAGGGGCTGAAAGAACCGGAAGGCAAGCAAGAAAACTTCTCTGTCTTGCTGGATGAACCGTTGCAATGAACCATTGTTTTTTTGACAAAGCTTTATGGTCGTTCCATTGCTGTGCTTGGCTCGAGAATCGTGTAGGAGACATGCACTTGTTCCGCCGCATTGGCCAGCCGGTTAAACGCGATCGATGCTAAATCAAAGTACACACCACGCGTCTTTCCATTGGTCAGCCGGTTAGCGGCGCGGGCGATGCTTGCTAGAAAATCACACGCTCACACCCGCCTCTGTTCTACTACTGTGCTCCCCGCGACCGTTCTCACCTCCAACTGTTCTCCCTGTTCGAACGCACAGACTGAGGGCACTGCCGGCACCGTGGAGAAAAGGGAGGTCATGGAGTTCTGCGACGATGGCAGCGAGGAGTGGACGATTGCCATCGGAAACGAACCGTCCGACACGCAGAGTGCGGCGGTCATCAGCGCTGGGCAGGTGAAAACAAGAACGACCACCCTAAAGCGTCAGCACAACCTCTTGTGTCCGTCACGGACGTGTTGCGAGAGGCGATTTGGACGGGGAAGTAGATTATATATCTCGTACCTCTCCCCCCTCCCGTCTTTGTAGAGAATGCTTTCCATCGTTTCTCGTACTTGACGACGCGTCCACGAACGCGCACCGTCAAGTGTGCGATTTCGCTGGTGCGCAACGAAGTCAGCCATCTTGTCTTCGGCGCGTTGCTCTCCCCCCGCGCCCCTTTACTTCGTTCTACGAACTCAGCACTGCTGCTGCATCACAACTGTTTCGCTTGGGTTGATTCCATGTGGTCCTTCTCCCACGTGCCAACCCCATAACCGAAAGCAACACCCTGGCTCCCCCTCCCCCTCCCCCCCCCCCCCCTCCTCCGTCTTGCGCGCTGTGCTGTGCTGGGTTGTCTTCTTGACCTTACCACAGATGGAACTTGTCCGGTCGTCGGAGTTCACGACTCTGCTCGCGGCATCTTTGGAGGATTCGAACCTGACTGTTGACCCTGCCGGGCTCACCTACAGCTCCCTGGGGTACATTGTGCTTTACGACGAGGAACAGGTTTGTTTTTGTGTCTGTGTGTCTGTATTATTGGCATCGACCGCGCCCCCCGGCTGACCAATGAAAGGGGGGGTGTTTGTATGTTTTTTTATTTCTTGATAAGCATCGACCGCGTTCCGCCGGCTGAAGCAAGTCTCAGCCCGGCTGAAACCAGACAGGTACTACTAAGTGCTGATAGACCATCGACGACCCTTCGTTTTCGGCTTCCACCAGGCGGTGACCGCGGCAAACTCGGACAGCCTCGACAGCGACTTCGTCGCGTTCCGGGGGCCCGACCAGTGGTGGCCCGTGGTGGGCCTGGCTGCTCTTCGGCCTCGTCCTCCTCTGCTGCATCTGCCCGCTCGCGGCCTGCATCTACTACTACAGGCCGGGACACGCGGGGCCCCCCAGCCCGTCCGGCGCGGGCGGCGGACCCGGGATGTTCGGCGGCAGCACCAGGGGGGGCACCGGGAAGGAGGTCGGGAAGGGCGGCGGCGGGGGAAACGCGGACTGGATCGCGCAGCAGTATGAGAAGGGAGGGGGAGGCGGAGGCTACGGAGACAAGGACTTTAACGACGCCGCGACGGGCATCAGCGTGAGTTTTTTTTTTTTTTGCCGTCGAGCACAATGGTGTGCGTGCGTGCGTGCGTGCGTGCTTGTGTGTCTGGTGGAGGCGATGGGAGGAGGGGAGTGAATTTTGTTGGCGTGCGGGGTAGATTGATCGTCGCGTTTTTTCCCCTTTACTCTTGGCTCGTTTTCTTTCTTTTTCCGTGTATAGTGTGGTGTGCTTCGATGAAAACGCGGGAGTTAAACGGTGGTTGCCCGGTTCGGCAGGGGCTCCGGCGTAGCGATGCGAGTTTTCTGGTGGACTGAACCGGACGCTTGCCTAATGCGCGTAGATATTTATTTCCTTCTCTCAGCCCACGTTACTCGTAAGGCCTGCAATAGAACGCGAAAGCTGACTGATCGGCCAAGATCGCACGGAGATGAGCTGTGCTGTGCCCTCTCGCTCATGCGCCATCCCGCCGCGCAGAGAGAGAAATCGTTCTCTGTTTTTTTTGTTCCGAATGTGCGGACCCCTTGTTGTTTCCTCTCCTCGTCTCCACCCTTTCGTTCTGGCATTTGGCCGCCGTCGCGCGTGCTTGTTGTTTGTTTTTGGCATGTTAGGTTTACTCCCCCCGGGACGAAGTGGCCACGTCGGGAAGCGGTGTGGACTCGGCGACGGTCGTCCAGGCTGCGGAAAGCCCGGAATTGGCGTCGGGCGAATGGCCGGAGGTGAGAGGAGAACTGACACACTCAGCGTGGTACGTGTAGCATAGAATAATTATCGTTGGGCGCGTCATAGGCTCCCCTGCTGCCTCGACTGCCCCCCCCCCCCACCCCACCCCCTTTAAACCCAACCCCCAACCCCACAACAAAAAACCCCCCCCCTTTTTTTCAAAATCAACCCCCCTTCCTTATTCT